TCTCCCTCATTGTTCTGTATTTATTATAAATATAAAAAAAAATGTGGCATGTGTTTAAAATACAGCTCGTCCAGTCACTAGTCCTTGAATCGTGGTCTAATGTTTCAATACTCAGTACTCTGTTTGCGTCTGCAGATAATTTTGAAGTTCAGTCACTATTTAAGCATCTGTGTAACCTAATGGTTCACCTGAGGGATTTATTTTTCTCATATCAGGTTTAGCATCATCCAAACTATTTTGTGATAATAATTCATGCCTAATTTGGGTAGGAACCTTTTCGCCAATAGTGCTTAAAAGTACAACAAATGAGTACAGTGAGGGTCCATGGGGTGAAAATGGTTTGTTTTTTTCCTCCCGGTTAAGGTCTGGTTTCAGCCGGAAATGTGGGGAATGTGTTTTTTTTGCGGCTGTGGTTAAGAATCTTCAGGGCTTTCTTTGTGGAGAATTTGAATTAGACGTTTTCTCCCCCATTCTGGATCCATGATCCGTGGCAGCCGAAGGCATTTTACAGATCAGCCCATCTGAAGTCACAGTGTTTAGCAACAAATTGAGGACATTAGCACAATTACAATTAACACTACTTACAACCAAATATTTTAGTTTCCTTCCACTTTAGTGGTGAGTGGCTGTAAGAAGGAAATTCATGTCTTGATTAATCATCAGGTGGGATAGATTATTGATTACAATAATCTATTCCATGATTGTTCATGTCTGTGAGTCACAAAGCTTGACATTGCATCCAATGAAATTGAAGAAGTACCTACTTTATTGTATTCGTCTGCGCTTTGACATTTACAACCACCTGCGCTCTCTATATCTGGAAATGTTGAATAATCTTAAAAAATAACAGACATTGTTTTTTAACTTCCTGCTAACGTTTGGCCCCGCTCCCACTAAGTGCAGCAGTTTTGTATCAGAAACTTTGCTTTCAAAGTTCATCAGTCTGCCTGAATAATTGGCTGTGAGTTGTAGAGGAAATTATAAAAGGAGCTAAAAGCAATAATAGCGCTCAAATGAAAACCATCTGTTGCAGAGAAACGGCATGTTTCTAATCTCTTCAGTCAGGGCGATAGTTTTAGGAGTAATCTGCCCTTCCACCATTGACGGGGCAAAAAAAAAAAAAAAAGGAAATGAGAGCAACTGAGGGAAAGGTGAAAAACAAAAGAAGAGAAGATTTACTGAGGCGGTAATAAGCTACTGGAAGGGAGGAACGTGTTCTGTTTTATTGGTTCACTCAGCCTCGCTAGTAAGGCATTCTGGGTAAACTGGATCCAGGTGTTTCTCTGCACTGGCTTGCAACATTATATGAGCTTTTTTTCTATGTTTACTATGTTTTATGGCAAACCAACACAAAGTAGAGAATAGTTGTGAACTAGATGGTAAGTGATACATCGTTTTTGAGAGTCAGACCTTTATGGACGATTAGCAAGAAAAAAAATTTGCAAGATGTTTGCAATTTGTAAGCGAGACGGCAAACATGTGGCAGAAGGTCGCTTATAACTTCCTGCTTTAATAGTTCAAACACCTGATACACATTGACATGCATTAATATATGCACAGTGGAAATTTTTGTAAATGACCATCCAAGATGGTCTTCCTCATCTCTGCTCTTGCGATCCAGCCAGTCAGCACCAAGGGACATGAATGCTGCGTCTGGATTGGCTGGTTTGCAAATGCCAGTCAATATCTTGTTAAAAGGGATTGCTCCCAGTTATTCCAGCTTCAAGAGCTGCATTTCTTTTGAATATTTCAGGTGATTGAACTTCAGCTATTTCATAAATCAAAATAGGCAAAATGTCCACCTCCTAGATGAGGAAAGCTGGTGGAAACGTACCTAAATAGATTTGCAGTGGTTTTACATTTTCATTATAAATACACCACAGTTTTAAGATTTTTATATAAACATTTTTCCAAAACAGCCCACACTTTCCACACTATTTTTTTGCTGCATCAATTAAGTACCTCAAGCTTTGTAATACAGCAAAACAAATACTTTGCAATGTTACTAAACATGATCCAGCACATATTAGATACACACATCAAGCAGAACCAATTGTTTCCATGGATCATTTCCACCTGATAAGTTTATGGCTGATCGAGCCACAAACATTCAGAGATTATTTCTATTTTACTTTAAGTTAGCTACGTAAAAGTATAAATGAGAATAATTTAGTGGAACTATTATTGCTCTTGCATTCACTTAAGGTTCAGCTTTGTTTTCTGCAAAATCAGAAGTTTTCATAAAACTGGATTTTTTTAAACCTCACAAGAGTATGTGAGGATTTTCTTCCATTAACAGAACATGGTAATTTTTTTAACGCCGAACGTCAAATCTGTTAAATTAGTCACGGAGGAATTTGTTTTCTACAGATTAGAAGCATGTGTGAGTGTCAGAGGATGAGGTTCGTGATTAAATTCCCTTTCTGTTGAGTCATGTAATTCTTAGCTGATGATGATTACAATATTGTGGGTTTCACAGTCTCCCGTACATATGATAGCCATCAAACCTGTGGAGAGCTGGCTATGAAATAAGAACAGAAAAAGTAATCAAGCTTTGCTATCAAGGGACGCAGCACGTTTTAAAACGAGCAGCTCATTCATCATTCAGAACACAAGCTTGCATGTTTGATTCTTAGTACTTTTGCAGATGTGTCAACTTGACTGATTTACGTTCACTGTACAAACAAACTGTCACTGGAAATGGAAATGTTTTTATTGGATAATAATCTGCAGATGTACACAGTTAGGCAGATTTAAATGTTCAAAGGAAGTCTGGACATATCATCATCGCAATATCAGTGTGTGTGATAATCATATCACAACTGTCTGTTTTGGGTGCAGAAGTTGTTGACATACATTATATCACAACTGATCTTGCAGGATTTACCAAAGTTGCAACAACAGTCACGAGATCTTCGAAAGTTGCGCCACCTTAGTTACAAACCTTGGCCGCTTAACTGGGAGTTTAGACTTCAATGTTTGAATAAAAGGTGATATTTCTGGTGAAAGATAACACCTAAAAGTTGACTGAGCCACCAGGGAGGAAATGTCTGTGGAGCTGTCAGTTCTGGTGACCCACTCTCTTCTACAGATCATGAGGCTTTCAGGCAGATGTTCATTTGATGGGACGTTTACAGGATCAACCCAGATCCTGTCTGCAATGTCTTTCACGTTTTACCATGATCATTCATGTTTCAGCATCTGCCTTCAGTTGCTAACGTATTTGTTGAGATGCTGTTACTAAAAAAAATATTTCTATCAGAATTTGTCACACACTACATAGGCTAGAAGCCAAATATTTATGACATTATGATCAGATCTCAGTCATAAAAGACGGTTTATAAGAAATGATTAGATTTATGTCAGGGTTTTTCTTTAATCTTAAACTTAATGAGTGGGGATATGATTACAGTCATTAGTTTTGTGAATCCAACTGTTTTTCCTGATGATGTTTTCGGTAGGAAAGTCCAAACAGAAGATTTTTATCCCCAATAATGATCCAAGTCATTTGAGAATTTACAAAGTCCTACTTCGTTCACCATTGATAGAGGCTGCAGTTTCTTTTACCCATTTTTTTTTGACAGTGATCAATATTTTGTCTTAACTGTTGCCTCAGTATGGTGCACCATTGTGTCTCTCTGTTTTGATACAACTTGTTGATTTAGCATATAACACATTTCTCTTTGGGTGCATTTAATCTTATGTGGACTGAACTTGGAAAACACTGTTTTCCTGCTTCATAATTTTTTTTTTCTTTGCTTTAAATGTGATAAAATTCAATGGTGGCATTTCAGCTGCTTTCTGTGACGGCTGGGCCACAGAGCGCAGCACACAGGGAAGGTCAAATGACTCAGAGCTGTAGCCTTTACACTCTTCCATTCAATATGTTTGTCACTCCTTTTGGCTCTTTTAATTGCCAACACGCCTATAAACCAAATTTAAAACAATGTAAAAGAATTGTTTTCACTACAATGACCACTACAATGCGTGGTCATTGTAGTGAAATGAGAAACAGCGGTTGGTACGTTGTACGTATCAAACACGTTGTGTTCTTGTTGGATGTCGTCTTAAAAGTTTGCTGTGGCGCCCAGGCGGTCTTTTAGAGATGAGAGTTTACGCATTTCAGGGGGCAACACTAAACCTGTCATCTGGACCTGGAGTGAAGTCTGCAGAGACGAAAGCTGTTTGAGCTTTGGTTACTGCTCTGGCAGTCAGCGAAGGGTCATCGCACTGCATGGCTTTGACCTATTAGTGTTCCTGTGCCAGGCTGTAAAACACACTGTCAACACTCAGTGAGCCCAACTTTGATCCATCAAGTTAGGATGCCATCTATTTATAATTTATTCTGAGTAAAGTGACTAGAAAACAGGTTATTCGCTGAAGAAAAATATAATATGTAGTATAATTGAGACAAAATTGTACAAAAAACTATAAACATTTTGTATTTGAGAAAAAAAAAAACTGTATATGTTTTAACCAAAACTACTCAAGTGGCAATTTTAGCTTCACCTGATCAAATTCTGTTAAAAAAAAAAAATAAATCTGCCATCAAGCACCCTTTTATTATCTAAAATAAAGTTAATTTAAAGTATAATTAACAGATCAGCCCTATGACTTTGCTACAAATGATCAAGAAGTCACTAAAGTAATGCTATGACAGGCAATAAAATGTTTATTTACTTATTTAAAGAGATGAATAGCATATTTTAATGCATGTCCTGCATTCTATAAAATAAGCTTAAGCTTAAATAAAAACCTGCAGAATGTGCCAAGTTTTTTTTCCAGATTAATCAATTAATTGTCAATAACTGATAGAGAAATTTCTAATTAAAATAATTGCTAGTTATAGCTCTAGAAAAAATAAACTCAAATATGGTGATAGTTGGAGTATCATATCCTGATGTTGAGAATTATGGATCTGAAGCTGGATCATTAGAGAACCTGTTTGTGATTGTTGTGGTGGGACCAGAAATACTGACCGTTTTCCTTTTCCCTCATAGATCGAGAGGACCAGTCAATTCTTTGCACGTGAGTACTGCCCTCGTCTTTTCTTTGCTTTATTCCCAAGGTTGTGTCGAAGGACGGCTGGTTAATGTTTCCTACTTGGTTCGTTCTGGAGCTGCTCAGTGGGCTGGTAAATGAACCTTCAACAGATAAAGATTATTTATCTCCTAATATTCTTCCCTTCTGGCCTCAGTTCATGTCCTTGCACTGCCTGTATTTGTAACTTAAAGAAGTCATAAAAAGAGTGTTTTTTTTTATCTGAACTTCAGGATTTCTTTCTTCTTTTTAATGTGGTTCTGGCATTCAGTAAAGCCTTTTCCACCTCCCTCTATGCCCGCCGTCCTGCTGGGTTTTATTTAAAGACGAGTTACATATAGCTGGTTTTGCGGATGCAGGGCTGTGCTGCGGTTCTGCCAAATACTGAGGGAGTTATGAGTGTGGTTTGGTGGCTCGCCCTCAAACTCTACGTCAGAGTGTCATTAAGTGGTACTTTTTTTTTTGCTTGGCATGAGTTGCCAGTGACATCAAAACCCAAGCTGAAAATAGCATCGCTTGTTGGTGGTAATAAATCAGTGATTTCTGACTGGAGAAACCTACTAATCTCCTACAGGAACTACAGCATCACTGATGAAATGATTCATAGAGCACAAAACTGCCTGATCAAATGTTTGTGGATCCCGTAAAAGTTTGAAAATGATCAGTATGAAGCCAGTCATGCTGTTGCAGCTTTTTGTTATTTACCAAAAGAGTTTTTGCTGCCAAAATGCCACAATTATCTGCACCAAGATTCCTCCTAACGATCCTAACATTTAAGAGGTTTCTGTGCTGCAGTTCCCAATATTCTGCCTCACATAGCAACCCTCCTATAGTGAGGAGTTATGAGTGTAGCGAGGAGGGTTGCTGGTTGCTATTGCTGCCGGCTAGCTCCTGCAGACTAGCCGGCAGCAATTAGCAAACACCTGGTGGAGCATCTGCTGAGCTCCTTATAGGAGCTACTTCTCAATGCAACGGTGGTGAAGACATTGTTATAGGTTTAATGGTAACACTTTTATTTGACTGTCATGACATCGTCATAAACATGAGTAAGTCTTCATGAATATTTATGACTGTTGCCATAAAGTGTCAAGTCCTGTAAATTGTAACACTTTTAATACAAACGGTTTAATAGAGGAGCCATGTTGTCGTCACTTCCTGAAGGCGGAGTTTTAGAAATATTTACAATCATCAGTGAATTGTTTCCTGGAGTCACACTCCAGATTGACTGTGAAACTAGGCTGCTTTAAAACCTAAAACTAAACACACACAATGCTTAATTTGACCTACATTCTGATATTCTGCCTTCGAGGACTCGCCCCTCGGATTCTAGTGAAGCATCTACAAACCTCAGTGTACTATGTGCAGTAGAACTAATAAGCAGCTCCACTAAAACCACTGGCATGTAGCTAGATGTAGTGTTGCTGGCCGGGTTTTTGCTCTTGGCTCCGAGACCTGACTGTGGGAAACTGAGGCAGGCCCTGCCTGTACACAGCTATCATTAGAGACAACCCAAAAGCAGAGCCGGGAAAGTTGGAGACGCACTCAGCAGACCACAGCATTCTCCACTGAAACACTGACAAACAAGGCACATATATAAAAATCTTGATGACCTTGGTGTTGGTCCAGTCACTCATCGCCACAATAGTAGTGATTTTGGGGAATTTTTTTTCCCATGGTTTTCCAGTTTTTCTGTTTGTAGCTTGCAAGTCTTTGGACAATTTACACACATTTCCATACCAATGATATTTGCCAGAACCGCTCTCTGCTTTCATTCATACTTCACTGGCCGTCATTTTATCTATGCGTTTCTGTTTCTAAACTCTTCTTTGTAGAGGTGAGTCGGGAGCGGGCAAGACGGAAAACACAAAGAAGGTCATCCAGTACTTGGCCCACGTTGCCTCCTCACACAAAGGACGCAAAGACCACAACATTCCTGTGAGCCTCACTGCCTACATTTCCCTGCTCTCTTCCTTTCCCTTTTTTTTTTGCTCCTGCAAAGCATCCCATATGAGCTATCTGTGGGTAAATTAGTTCCTTTATAAAGCCTCGTTGTAAAATAATCTTGTACCATAATCTGACACTGTAAAATTGTAAAACTTCAAATTTAAACATGTCACTGGTGGCACAACCTCCATTTCTATGATTTCTATTTAGTAACTCAGGACTTTGTTTCTCTGGTGTATAATTATTACATCACCAAAACATTTATTTTTTATTTTTTGACAAAGATCTAATTTGTTTTGCCAACAATCATATCAGTTAGGTATAGTGGTGGATTCATGATGATGTGGGATTTTTTTTCTCTTCCAATCACCCTGGGAACTTGGAGTTTATTATATTAGGAAATCTATATAATGCAACTGATTTTTTTTTTGTGAAAATTTGATGGCTTTTCAGCCTAGACTGAAAATTGGCTGATTTTTCAGGTTAACAATGGTTGAACATTGACACAAAATCTGATTGATCAACTAAAGAAAACCTGTGGGTTGAGTTGAAGAGAAGCAAATATAGGACAGGATCCAGGAATCTGGACTAAATAGAGATTGTGCAAAAATAACTATCAGTGAATTCAAAACAATGTGAAAAACATTGTTTTTCCCTCAGAATTTTGAGGGTTTGTGTTGCATTATATTAAAGAATGAAAATTAATTTTGGACCTTTTACTCCTTTTACTGATCTGTCTACATTACTGGTGTAGTGGCAGAAATACAGACTGAAAACACTGTCATGCTTGTGGTCTAAATAATATATTGGAGATAAGATTTCAGATGATTGCCTTAAGCTAATCAGCCTGAGCTAGCCTGCTAGCTAGTTTAGCATCAATAATTTTTTAAGCTAGCATGTTCTCACTTCTGCTGCTGAGAGTATTGAGGGTGTTTTTCTCAAAATGTGAAATTAATCATTCATGCTATGATTTCTTAAAAGAAAGTAAAAAATGATGCAGCAATCAGCAGCTTTTCTAAGACGTAGCGTGATCTGCTCTCATACGTCCTGCCCTGTGTGAGCCAGAACCAGACCAATGTGTTCTCTTTTCTGTTGCTTGTGTGCGATATGAGCACTTCACCTTTTAACACATGCATTTGTTTGTCCATAACGCACAGCCCGATTCTCCCAAAGCATTCAAGCTACAGGCAAGTGGATCCCCCGGCGAGGGTGTCGTCTATTTTCATGTTTGTACTGATCTGCATGCCCTCCTATCTAAATCTCAGGCTTTTTCCGTAGTGATGCAGACAGACTAATGTTAGCTTATGATGTTGTGAGGTATTTGTTTGTGCTGGCTCGGTCTTCTCACATGGAAAGAAGTGATTCTTCCTTTAACCCAGCAGGCTCGTGACAACAAAACAATGTTTTATCAGTTGGTTCTGGTTTATTAAACCAGTTTGGAATGAAGACTTCATCAGAAACACATGCTTGACAATAAAGGATGACTATTTATGAAGTTCTAACGGGGCCCGAGTCTGTGGAGCCACGATGCTGAGCAGTGTGCGGATCAGATGGCAGCCACACCAAACAACTCTCCTCCATCCTCTTTATTTTCTATTTGTTGATTCAAGTTGATGAAAGAAAATCAAATTTATGGCATACTTCTGCATATTTTCATTTTGCTAGACATTTAAGTGCATGTGCCCGTAGTTTGAGGTCCATTTAATCTGATCTTATTTTGTGTTTTAGTTAGGATATTGTATCTCAATGTTTTATTCTAGATTGGAATGAGATAAAAATCTCATTTCAACATCTGTTTTTCTTAATTTTAGGCAAACTCTGTGTTTTCTTGCTCACCTTTTGTTTTTTTCTTTTGTTTTTTTTTTTTTTTTTGCATAGTCTGTGTTCTTGCCATTTCTCTTTTTTTCCCTCTTTGCTAAATCAGAACCGAATGTTGGAAAATCTAATAACTGCAGATGCAGAGCGAGTCTTTATGACTTCTTTAACCTGAAACATTTGGCTCCGACACGACTGAGTTCACGGTTATTACGCTCAGATCCAGTAGCCGAAAGTCAGCAGCTGGACCTCTGTGCCTCTGCGGCTCCTTGGCCTCGCTGCATCATCCACACTGACCTCCTCAATGCAGCTTTCCTCCTGCTTTGCATTACAGCTACCTCTGTGCACAAGCCAGAGGAATGTAGGAATTGAGGGAGAGCAAAGAAAATAGTGTCGTAGAAGTGACGGAAATGTGGTCAGGAAGAAGTGGAGAAGACTTGGGTTAGACTTCGCCAGTGTTAGGTTGGAGTCAAAAATTACTCCAAAAGCAATTAATGTTGAGTACATTCCAGTTGTGGCTATAATCTTTGTTTGAAATGTAATTAGAAGCAAGTCAGTCGTTTATATCGTTCAGGCTGTTGAGGTGGATATAGATATGGTTTAAAATAAACACAACTCAAGATTATCTAAATGGTTGGAGATTCTCTTAATATACTTTATAACACCTGGTAAAGTCAGCCTGTAAACTGAAAAAAATCAAGGGACCAAGTATAGTAACTTGAGGAACACCACAGATCAAGTAAACGTTCACAGTTTGTTCACTACAATGCTTTGAAAACCCAGACTGAAAAAGATAATTTTCTGTCTGATTAGTAAAGATTTGTCTACTCGCCACCCATTAGTATAGCTTTGAAATTGTGTTTAGCAATGCTTTTAACGCTTTTAAGAAATATAATTAGTTTTCTCTACTATAATTTCCTTATAGTAGATAAATAAGAGCAGGAGCCAACTCTGGAGCAAGTCAGGGCCTCGTTGAAATGAACTGTTCATTCTGTCCAAATATGATCCAGTTTACAGCAGAAGATGTTTTTGTTCTACCATAATCATGAAAAATAGAAATGGCAATAAGTCTTGGAGAATTAAATGTTTTAGGACCCAAGTTTTAAGATTTTATTGAGCTTTGTCTTTAGACGGGACAATCTACGTTCCATAAAAATGAGCCAGATTTAGCTACAAAAGCTAATGTCCCCCTGCAGTCTCCAGCATAAAATGAAATTAGGACAAGTTTGTGGAAGAACCCATCGTGTTTTGCCATGTTCTATACGGTTTATATTATGACCAGAGGAATGTACGAGCAGATGAAAGTCCTCACAAAGTAACTTTTCTCCATTGAGCTTTCAGACCGCCACACTTCCTTCGTGCCTCCGTGGTTTAACACGGTTTCTCTGTCTGCTTGTTTGTCTTGGCCCCTGAAACTTGTTGAATTCTCTCGACAAAAATACCTCTGTTCAGCAGATCGTTTAAGCCACACAGCCTTGTCTGAGTATAGCTTAGTACAACAACTAGGCTTCGATTTTTTTTTTCTCTCTTTCTGCTTTCATAAAATATTTAGTTTTGACTTTATGTACTTGTGTGTGTGTGTCTTGGAATAAAAAGACAAACATGTGAAAACAGAGATTTAAAAGAAAAAAAAAAGACAATTCGAGAGCCTCTTAACCTCTTTGTCTTTGTTTACAGGGGGAGTTGGAACGTCAGCTCCTGCAAGCCAATCCAATCCTTGAGTCGTTTGGCAATGCCAAGACGGTGAAAAACGACAACTCGTCTCGCTTTGTGAGTTTAGATTATCAGTTTAAATGAACATTTTCTTTGTTTAAACACATTCAGCGAGGAAATTGTGCTCTCCCCCCTCACAATAAATTTTTATTTATCTTCTTTTACTTAGAATATGTTTATTAGGAGTGGAAAAGATCTTGTGGGATGAGACTCAGAGTAGTAAACAATGAGTGAACAGTGATGTGACTTCTTTTTATTTGTCAACGTAGATTTTTTTCTGTTGAAGTAAATCTAAGCCTTTTTTATGCACTCTAGATACAAAACCTCTTACGTTTTAGTCGCTGAACCCATTTTTTCACTTTTATTTTGTAGGGGAAAGCAGGTCTCTTGACATTACACTAGATTTTAGCTCCTTTTATTTTTAAATGGTAATTGTGTGAAAATTCTTTTTTTAAAGAAATGCTGTAAAAACACAATTTTTTTATTTTAGTAGCAAAAAATCTCTACCTAAATCTGGTTTCTAAAATTAAATTCCCAGCTCTTTCAAGGAACATCATAAAATCATGTCCAACAGGCAGAGATCTGTTGGGAAAACCATGACAAGCATAGATATTTGAGGTTTTGTAGCATTCAGAGCCACTCGTCAAACTTGGTTTGGCGCACGGTAATCAAGTCAGTGTTCGCCCCCGAGCGTTTAACATTTCTCTGTGGCTGATTAAACCATGTGGTCAAAATTAAGCGCCGCGGTGGTCAGGTCCACATGAATCACAGGTGTGTCTGCTGAACAACAGTGGATGCACGCGTTCCCACAGACCGAGACACATTTACTGTCAGGAAACCACACACATGCCTCGGATTCCTGCTTGACATGTTAACCTGGCACTTCCTAATATGGGCATTTTGGTTCCTCACTGCATTTTTGTCATGAGCAAAAAAAAAACCACATGGGGAGAGGGGGGAGTATGTAAAACAAAGCAGATCCCTGAAAGAGGAAAAAAAGGTAGTTGAATGCACGAAACCATACAGCCGTGGACGTATGATGGTGTTTTTGGTTGATGATGATTTGTTCATCTGTCTTGTTCTACAGGGGAAGTTCATCAGAATCAACTTTGACGTTACCGGCTACATTGTTGGGGCCAACATTGAAACCTGTATCCTTAATGCCAGGTTCTGCTCTAAGGAACAATGGATCACTTCTTAAAGAAATATAAAAAAAGAGCCCATTGAGAAGAAAAACATGCATTCGACTCATAATGCGATTCTCTCCGCGCGCTTTCCAACCTGTTTTGTTTTTCTTTTTCTATCTCTTTCTTCAGTAAGAGAATTAATGGAAAATGTTACTATATTTTTTTAATGCTGTAACACAGTTGAAATAACTGAAATAAATTGCATTAGAGAGATATTTTCTCTTTTTTTATTATTATAATTTTTATGTGCAGATATGTAGTTGAAGCACAAGACAGCTAAAACAAATATAGAGCGTCTGTAGACATCTGTATTTGAATCTTGCCTCAGATTCAGTTGGTTACACAGATGGACTTTGACTGGACCGCTTTGTCCCGTGAACATACTTTGACGCAAATGGACAATTGATGGGAATTAACTGGTTGTACTGGATTTTCTTTGAGGGTATTCGAGTAAAGTGGTTTGAACATAAATGCATGACACACTTTTTGAGATTTTAAAATGCAAAAAGTTATTGATAGTCATGTTTTCCTCTCGTGGCAATTGACATTTATCCCCCACTACATTATGTTGGTCTAATGTGCGCACATTGTTTGGCAAAACGTGAGAGTTCATTGGGTATGGAAACCCGCATGCATTTATTTATTTTTCTGAAGGGAGTTTTATTGTTTGGATAATGATTTTCTTGCCATTCCTTAACTTTGGCCCCACAGATCTTCTAGAAAAGTCAAGAGCCATCAGACAGGCAAAAGAGGAGAGGACTTTCCACGTTTTTTATCGCCTGTTGGCAGGAGCTGGAGAGCATCTTCGAAGTGAGTTTCTGTCCTCTTAATGAGCCAGTTGCCAATAAAGCTCGAACAGCAACCTTTAATTTACTTGCTGCAGAGCTAATTTTTGGATTTGTTTGTCTGATTGGCTCACAAAAAATGCGTAGCTAAAAGTACACAAAAAACTAAGAAGACAAAAATCTGTTACTATGACTTAGCATTGACTGTACTCTTCTGTTTTTTAAGGAGCCTTGAGATTAAATTTGTTGCGAGTCGACGCTATAAACAAACCTGACCCAATCAAATATTCATTAATTTATGAGAAATGTATGTTTAATAATAGTTTCACTTGTTTTTCTTCCACAGCGGATCTGCTTCTTGAGGGATTCAACAGCTACAGGTTCTTGTCAAACGGCAACATTCCCATCCCGGGTCAGCAAGACAAGGAGAATTTCCAGGAGACAATGGAGGCGATGCACATCATGGGTTTCTCCCATGATGAAATAGTCTGTAAGCTCCACTGCCAGATGTGCCGTCCGCGTCTGCATCCCATTAGCGAGATCTGTTGTTTTTTTCCTCCCTTCTCTTGTGGTGGTGTTACTTTATCCTCCATGCGGCGAACAAATAAAGTTTTATTTTGCTCTGAATTTACCAGGCATGTTAAAGGTGGTTTCTGCCGTGCTGCAGTTTGGTAACGTTGTGTTCAAGAAGGAGAGGAATACCGATCAAGCATCAATGCCTGAGAATACAGGTGAGCCGGATGACATCTCGCTATTTTCTACACAGAACAATCACGTTTCCTGCTGTTTTAATTGCACAGGAAGTTACTCACCTCTGGTGTTTTTTATTTGTTTTTGCTTCTCTTAGCGGCGCAGAAGCTCTGCCACTTGCTTGGCATGAATGTCATGGAGTTTACCCGAGCCATCCTGACTCCAAGAATCAAAGTGGGACGAGACTACGTGCAAAAAGCTCAGACCAAAGAACAGGTGAAGCCCCACGCTACTGTTTCCAGTCAGGGTCAAGTAATCTGAAGAATAAAAAAATGGGTAAATGTAATGTAGAAATGTGAAGACTTTAAACCGGTGTTTTTTCTGTATTTTTTACTTCATGTCAATGTTTGTGAGATTTACTGTGACAAATACAGAAAACTTCAGCGTTCACACAATGGAAATACTGTAAAAAATATGGAAAATTTGGATTTACGGAAATGTGAAAAAAATGTAGCACAACTAAAGCTGTCAAAGTCTGTTTTTCAGTTGACAGAGATGTTCGTAAAATTAGTGGAAAAAAAAAAAAAAAAAAAAAAAAAAAAAAAATATATATATATATATATATATATATATATATGTATATATATATATATATAGATATATATATATAGATATATATATATATATATATATATATATATATGTATATATATATATATTTGTAATATTGCAGAAGCTGCAATATGCCAAATGTGTATTTTTTTTTTTTTGGGTGAAAATTTTCTTTCAGTGCACATCCGAAATTTTTCACATTACCTATATTTTATTGAGATCAGTGCAATAGAGCAACATAAAGTTGCCAATCTTAATTCATAAGTGGAGAAAAATAACATGCCGAGGCCTGCCACAATGACTAATATAATAATATATTGTTGTTTTGATAACATTTTCAAGTAATACTAATAATGGAATAACAATGCAAGTTAATTTCCATCTCACATACCAATAAACTTTAATTTTGTAAAGAAAGCTTTACACTGGAACTGAAAAATACCTTAAATATCCAAAATGAAACACGACAACAAAAACAATAAACAACAATAATTCAAAGCCACACACAACAGAAGCCAATAATAAAATGAATCATGATGTTTCTATAAATTGCCCTTCAAAAATGATCAAGCTCATTTCCATTTATTATGTGATTAAATCACTGATGGCTTTTCCTGCGATCATGGAGCTGATTGATTGATCGCCCCATTTGAATCCCGCTGTCTGACCTCACTCTGAAGCAGATCTTGATTTCCTGAGCCGCACTCTGATGACTCCTGCATTACTGACGGTGTGACTTTTGCTCTCTTAACGAAGGCTGACTTTGCTGTGGAAGCCCTGGCCAAGGCGACGTACGAGCGGCTGTTCCGCTGGCTGGTCCACCGCATCAACAAGGCACTGGACCGGACCAAACGACAGGGTGCCTCCTTCATCGGCATCCTGGACATTGCTGGCTTTGAGATATTCGAGGTGGGGATTACCTTTTTCTGCGGTCACAGTCGATGAGAAACGTTTCGCTAACTCGACCTTTTTGTTTTCCAGCTGAACTCCTTCGAGCAGCTGTGCATCAACTACACCAACGAGAAGCTGCAGCAGCTCTTCAACCACACCATGTTCATCCTGGAGCAGGAGGAGTACCAGAGAGAGGGCATCGAGTGGAGCTTCATCGACTTCGGCCTGGACCTGCAGCCATGCATCGACCTCATCGAGCGGCCGGTCGGTCTGCTGCCGCGTGGCCGACACGTCTGCGTGTCGTCTCCGGGGACTTCCCGCTCCTGACTGTGCATGTCTTCTTAGAATAATCCTCCAGGAATCCTGGCTTTGCTTGACGAGGAGTGCTGGTTTCCCAAAGCCACAGACAAGACATTTGTGGACAAAGTGCTGCAGGAACTGGGCACGCACGCCAAGTTCCAGAAGCCGCGGCAGCTGAAAGACAAGGCAGACTTCTGCATCATCCACTATGCCGGGAGGGTACGTATTTGTCGCTTTCTGAGTTTGGACTTTGTCAGCAGCTTTAGGAGTCAATAGTTGCAGTTTGTCTTTTAAAAGGACGTGTTTCCAGTAAGGGTGGCCATTTATTGTATTCTTACTAATTATGGTGTTAAATTTCTTATCATGATGATAATTTTGATTCATCTCAATCGCAATAAAATTCACAATAAATTGCTCTTATATTGTTTTAAAAACACCTAAACTCTCCATATTATCAGGATTGGTAGGTTTTACTATTTTCTCCACTGTTCAATAAAAGCATCATTAAATATAATAAATCTGAAAATTCAGCAGCTTAGTGATACACTAAACATTAATTTCCATGACTGATATCAAAAAGAAGCACATTACAAATGGGAATGTTTTTCCATTTTCAAGAACATTATTTTTGGGTTTGAAGGTCTTTAATTGCTGCGACACCCAGTCACATTCATACAGTTAAAAAGATGTAATAAATCATCTTCATCATTATCGCAACACTACCACTAAATTTTGTGATTAAACTTTAAGTCCATATCACCCATACATCCTAGTGGAAAGCCAGTTTTTCTCTGAGGCAGAGACTTTGCTCTTCTAATAGCGTAGCTGCCCAGGTCACACCGTGAAAACAAAGGCATAGTTGTGGAACTGCTGCTGCAGGAAACCCACATCTGGTTCAGATCGGTATGAGATGGGCTTTTCGATGCCTGCTGGTTACATAACAAGTTTTTTTTTTCTTTTTCTTTCATAGCTTGCACCTTTCTCTGGAGGTCTGGCAACTGTTAAAGTCGAACCGATCCTCCTCAGCCTCTCTGAGAAGGCGTCTGTCATAAAATACGACACTCCGTCTGCAGCGCCTGCTCAATTAGGGCCTACATGTGTTTTCTTTTCCGACGTCGTGCCTATTTGCAAACACTCAGAGTGTTGGACCCGATCTGTACTCAGGAATATGTGAAGTGCCAGGTTCACTTAGACAGCCGGATCCAGGAATAGCGTGAAATTTCATGAAACAATTCCTGCATGACTGCAAAACTGAAGGGGAAAATAGCTGTGAACATTATGTGCTTGTTGTTTTTTAAGAGTCCTGATTAAAGCCACGTGTAGAGTTCCCTCTCAGGTTGCTGAGCATGTCACTGGTCTTTCATTATCAAGCTCGGTTTGCATGGACAGTGCCCTGCTAACGCATTTATGCTCTTGAACTTTTCCACATTTTGTGACAAACTGAATATTTCATACAAGTCGGAGGAAAACAACACATGGATTCCTAGATGTTTTATAGATAGAAGATGGAAATGTGTGGCTAACCACATTCAATACTTCTAATAAAATCCAGTTACCTTCAAAGTATAGGAGTGCATTGAAATGCCTCGTGAAGCAAAATTAATATTTTAATAAATAGTGCTGCTATATCCCTGTTGTCCATATGTTTGTTGCCTGTAATATTTTAAATTAAAAGAGAAAAAACGAAACATAAAAGTATTCTCGTGGCTCAGCTTTAAATCTAAATGCTTACCTGATAGGTTGGTTATTTTAGAGCATGTATTAGAAGAGCAAAGGCCTGTAATGATTGTGGAATCCATACTTTTCAAATAATTTTCCACTTCTCAGTAATGCAATACCTTATGTTGGTCTGTCAGATAAAATCCCAATAAAATGCAGTAAATATCAAAGGGATAGTTTTCCTTGCCCTGTTTTTAGCGAGGCACCATTTCTGTAATATTAGCATCATGCGCTGCTTAGTGCCTTGACGATTTGAACCTGTGCTGATCATCTCAAACTTTTCTTTTTCTGTCATAATCAGCTTCAGATGCACTACTTAGATTATTATTAAGAGGTTAAACAAACAGAGCGCAGACTAAAAGCCTCCACTACTGCGGTTAACTTTAAAATATGCATTCAAAATGCAGTATTTCCACAGTGAACATGGGTGAAATCAGTGTAATTAAAATCTGATATAATAATGAATTGTTCTACATTTCTGTTTTCAGTATAAATTTATCAAAAAAACAGATTTTTTGTAGAACTGCCTGACTGTATTTTTTCCATTGGAATTTTATTCAGGATAATCAACCGGGAGGAAATCATTTCTGGAAACTTTTGCTGTTGCAGCTGCTTTGATGAAACCTGAACGACCCGTTGTGTTTCTGTAGGTGGACTATAAAGCTGATGAATGGCTGATGAAGAACATGGATCCTCTGAATGATAACGTGGCCACGTTGCTCCACCAGTCAACTGACAAATTTGTGGCTGAGCTCTGGAAAGACGGTACGTCTCGTGTCGCTTACAACTCACTATGATTTCAGCTGCGTAGCCGTCATAATCCGCATCTTCTGTTTGATCTAATCTTTAAGAAGTTCCTACTCGACCTGGGGTATCCAAACGTTTTACCACATGGGCCAAAATCATCTAGTCAAAAACATTTGGGGGTCAAATAAATTTGACAAAAAAAAAGAAAAAACAACATTCTTTGATCATTACTTTAACATACTTTTTTTATACTTTGTGATGTATTTTCTTTTTTAAGATTTTAAAGTGACAGTGTAATGCAAAATCAACTTATTTGAGATTTGTATCATGTTATAATGTTGCCCTGATTCTTTCATGCATGTTTGAGAAATCCTTGAATGTCTTGTGGCAACCAGTCAGCTGTGTAAAACGCTGAAAGCCCTGCCTTCGAGGATGAAACTCCTCCAAAAAGCTGCAGCTTTCGCCTCACAGATCGCCGTTACACTGTGACTCCCTCCACTCAGCTCCTTTAGACTAGCTAGCAGCAATTAGCAACCACCTGGTGGAACTGCGCATCAGCTGAGCTCATTATAGGAATTACTTCTCAGTGAAATGCTGGTAAAAAGATTACTAACGAGTTAATGTTGGGAGGACTTCCTGAAGGTGGAGTTTTAGAAAGAGCAGGAGTTTCTTAAAGAGGCGGAGGCCTAATTTCAAGACTTGAATCACAAAGTCAATTAGATATATACCATTTTTACAACAACTGAAGTGTTATAAAATGGCACAATCATTATGACCTGATTAAAGGCAGAAAAATCTTAATTTGCATCAACCACCTATGCAAGGGGCTGGCAAATTTTTAGCTTTCTCAAACTGCAGTTATGGGTCTCACAAAATCAGTGCAGGGGCCGGAAATGGGCCTCCGAGCCACAACTTGGGCATACCTGATCTTGACAGTAAGTTTCCTCCAGAGAATCAGCTCCACTCCAAAAGCCAAATGCTTATTTTACACTGTAAACGGTTTCTGTATTACTTAAATAATTATAAATTAGCTTTAAAATCATGCGCCTAAACAGTAGCTAGCATTCAGACTAACTTCAGGCCTCTTTCTAACGTCTCCTCAGTGGATATCCTTGAATAATTTGTGCCTGAGGGAGTATGAACAATGGGTGTTTGTGTATGCATGCCTACTTTCCTTCTCTCTCTCACGCCCGTCTTCTCTCTCTGTTGCTGTAGACATTCAGACGTTTCAGAGAGCCTCTTTCTATGACAATGTGTCTGGGCTCCATGAAGCTCCAGGTGAATGTTAGTAACCAGCTTTGTGTACTTCTCACTGTCTCTCATCACTGCCGCTGCCAGGCCCCCATTGACCTCCTTTTTGTGTCATCAGTGCATTCGTACATACGTCAGAACGCATTCCTCTAGCTTCGCATGGCTCTGCTTCTGTTTTCGGTGAAACCTCAGGCATGGAAAACGTTCCTCCTGCTCTTGATGGTTGCAGTTTTCTCCAACTGTGATTATTTTAATGGATGTTTCAGGAGTTGTTATAATGTTTTACAGTTCCTGGAGTGTTTTGTTTGGTAAAAGAGGGAACATGGTGGAGGGCATTGTCTGCTGCACAAACTTGTGTGCCTTTGTCAGAATCTGGGCTCATGTAAAAGCCTCAGCCTCATTTTGCAATTTATCTCATCCTGCAGGGATTGTAGGAATCAAAATGTCCCTCACAAATGTTTGTCAGGTTCTGATTTTCACTTTGAGATCCACTCCACTGGTGCTGTGATGATAACCAAGCATCGTTTGGCTCCAAATGATGCTTGGTTGGAGTTTAGGCTTCATCCGAACCTTCTGCAGATTGAAAAAAATTTGTTTTCTTTCCTTTCCCCAAACTCACTGGATCCAAGAATGATTTCAGTTTGCAAAATATTGTTGCTGTCATTTATTGGCCCAAAGACCATGGAAACTTCTGCTGGCCAGATCCAACTTTAAAATATTATTTATTTGTTATGTGAAAAATGTGTTGCATAACATCTTCCATTTAATGCAAGAAGATATTTTACAAACTTGCTGAAACGATTCAAACGTTTTATGATGAGATTGTACCAAGTGGATTTTTTTTTATTATTATTTCTGGAGAGTATCAAAGCAAATCAGTAATTCTTCAGCCGTTTGGACCAAATTTCTCATACTTGATCATATTTATAATTGAAACATACTTTTTATGCACCTTATTGTTCTTCTAAGTTTGTTTTCTTATAAGAAGGGGGATACACTAATACACAACGACAAAGAATCAGATCACAGTTTCCTGCAGTGAACAATGAAAAACAAGAAGGAAAGAAAACAAGGACTAAACAGTTTTCAGTTGTTTTGCTCTACTTTATTATTTAATATTTCTTTATACAACAGTTACTTTTTGCAGCTGTTTTTTCTTCTTTTTTTTTTTACATGCAAATATAGTTGCAGCCGTACCGCTGATGTCCTCCGGGTTTTTTCCATCTTACCTATTGCAAAGCACAAAGAGGAAGGCTGAATCGTTGGGTCCCGACACATTTACACCCCTCCAGTTATTTTCATATTTTGTCTTCTCACACCACGGACCTTCGGTCATTTAAGTCAAATTTCCTGTAGTGGAACAACATCTGTACTGGGAAGTATAATAGCCTCTTTGGGATTTGGTGGTATGTAATATATTGAAAAAGTTTTTGGTTTTTTGTCTATTTATTTTTTACAAATGTTAACTTCTGCTTCTGCTACCTTTCATAAAGTCCAACCAACAGACTGGTTTTCAGTCTGAGCTCATGTTGCCTTCATGCTTTCATTGCAAAAAAAAAAACAAAAGAGAAAAGAAAATATACCACATCTGTACATCTTAGTCTTTATTTGCAGCATTTCTTTATAAACATCAAGACTTAATTTAAGAGCTTCATGTTGCTGGCATTCTTTTTTTTTTCTTTTGTGTTAAAGTAGCTGAAAAAAAATAAACCTTGTCTAAATTTTAAGAATCTCTTATTTTTATCTTTTGTTTTTTCTGTTGTTGTTGTTTTACCATTAGTTGACCGGATTGTGGGTCTGGACCAGGTGGCAGGCATGAACGAGACGGCCTTCGGCGCTGCCTACAAGACCAAGAAAGGCATGTTTCGCACGGTTGGACAGCTGTACAAAGAGCAGCTGTCCAAACTGATGGCCACACTCAGGAACACAAACCCCAACTTTGTGCGCTGCATCATCCCCAACCATGAAAAAAGAGTGAGTCAACATGTGACGTGACTGAGAGATGATTCACAGCTTCCTCTTTCACACACTGATGTATGACGGTTGTGTGGGATCGCAGCTGGTCATATATTTAATGATTAAAATAAACACATCTCAACTTGGACTTAAATCTGAGAGAAGAGCATTCAGCCATGAGGTTGCATTTTATAGGTTTGCACTTGATTTGACTCCATGTCAAACCAGAGCTGAAACGATTAATCAGATTAATCGTGATTAATCAACTATAATCGTCAACGAATTTAGTAATTTAGTAATTGATTAATCGTTAATTGGTGCACACATACTCAAAAAAAGCCCAAGTGGTGTTAAGAACAACATATTCAAAGCTGCAATTAATAAAAATTATACAGAACATTTATGCATTTTGCATTAAAGACAATATTGTCTCATTACAGAAAACTCAGTGTCATAGTTTTGTTTCAAATGATAAAAAGACCAGACATTGTATTGACAAGGACTGAGCTTTTCACATAAAAATGTTTACAGCATTTTTAAATTCCTGCAGATCCTTTGATACAAAACATGTACTGATGTGATGCTACGTTCCAGCATTTTAAACAATATTAAGTTTATGGTCTTACTTAATAAAGAAGTTGAGTTATTTGTTTACTTGCATCTTTTTATATATATATATATATATATATATATATATATATATATATATATATATATATATATATATATATATATATATATACATATATATATTTATATATATATATGTATATATATATATATATATATATATGTATATATATTTTTCTAATAAGACACAAAAAAGCTTAAATGAAAAATCAGCACAATGTGGCAGTTTTTATTATCCGATTAATTGATTATTGTGAGAATAATCGACAGATTAATCAATTAATTTTGTTTATATTGCACATTTTCAACAAGACATTTCAGTGTTTTTTGACAATTTTACAGTTTGAAATCATTGTTTTGTATGTATTATTTTTTATTTACCAATGTTGTATTTTGGGGGATTTATTTTCCAATCCTGTCTGAAATACACTAAACAAACTGAGTTAAATATGCAACCCGTCTCCTCCAGGCTGGGAAGCTGGACCCCCACCTGGTTCTGGACCAGTTGAGATGTAACGGCGTGCTGGAGGGGATCCGTATTTGCAGACAGGGATTTCCAAACCGAATCATTTTCCAGGAGTTCAGACAGAGGTAATGTTTCAGCTTTGTTTCTACTATTAATCATCATTTGAGGGACTTGTTTTTGTAAAAGCTTGTGGTTCTGATACTTGCATTTTTAAATGAACAGCACCGTAGTCCATTACCAAACTCAACCTATTGTTTGTTTGGAGTCTTTCATTTGATGTCAAAAGGCTCTAGCTTGGTAATTTCTTGATTAACCTTGGCTGTCGCAGGCGTGATTAACCAACAAAGTGTGGTTTATCACTTGTCTGACCTAACAAAGGAGGCGTTCATATTTCACAGGACCAACTTGTTTTGGAAGAGCACTTTCTCCCATAAATAAACGTAATCGTCATCTGAAAATTCAATTTTATGTTCACTCAGGTTATTCTCGTCTGACAAATTTGTCACAAAAAAGCAAAACCCAACCAAACCAGTAAGCTGGGACTGTGTGTTTGTTGTAGTTTAGAAACATCAGGATGTGTTGGAAAGGAAAAAAAAGCAAGGAAAACAAATATGGCTGCATTAAGAGTTGGTTCAACATTGATTAATTATTTTACTACATTTTAAATGATCTTGTCATACATGCTACTGCTTTTAATGAAGTTATTGGAAGCATAATATTCTTATTTTGCATCCATTGTTTAATTTGCATACCGGATACAGATAAACTCTTTGGAATAATATAAAATAATGAAGAGATCCCCATCGTATGCTTTCATTCTCTTGTAGAAACGTTGCACCAGAATTTGCTTTAATGTTTAAATGCTCAAAAACAATAAGAACAAATCGGACAAATGCACTATGGTTGTCTTTCATTTACAGTCTGTTACTCTCCTGTTGTGACATTGCTCCATGTCCAGGTATGAGATCCTCACTCCCAACGCCATTCCCAAAGGTTTCATGGACGGGAAGCAGGCCTGCGAGCGAATGGTAGTGGCTTTAAACATCTACACATAATGTTTATGTTAAAACAAACGTCAAACTTCACTCACAAAACCTTCGACTTGTTCTTTTTGTAGATTCAAGCGCTGGAGCTTGATGGCAACCTCTTCCGTATCGGCCAGAGCAAGATATTTTTCAGAGCCGGAGTCCTGGCTCACTTAGAGGAAGAGAGAGACCTGAAGATCACCGACATCATTATTTACTTCCAGGCCGTCTGCAGAGGATACCTGGCGCGCAAGTAAGGCCGGATTGTCGAGATGTGAACCACATAAACTGGACCGGTGTTTCATTGTTTGTTCCTCGTCTTCAGATCCTTCGCTAAGAAGCAGCAGCAGCTGAGCGCCCTGAAGGTCCTGCAGAGAAACTGCGCCGCTTACTTGAAGCTTCGTCACTGGCAGTGGTGGAGGCTGTTCACCAAGGCATGCGATTCGTTTTTCTATTTTTCCAGCTGTGATGTTTTTAACATATTGCAATGAGTCTCTGACGTTGTGACTGCAGGTGAAGCCACTGCTGCAGGTGACCAGGCAGGAGGAGGAGATGCAGGCTAAAGATGAAGAGTTGGTCAAAGTGAAGGAGAAGCAGATGAAGGTGGAGGGAGAGCTGGTGGAGATGGAGAGGAAACACCAGCAGGTTATTTACAAACACATATTTAATCTTCAGTTTGCCAAAAACAAACTTACTCTCCCTGCATAAGTCTGAAAAGTGTGGCCTGCATTTGAATTTAAAATTTCCATACATTCCTGTTAGAGAAATAGCTGAAGACTGGTCAGATTATATGTCTATAAACATCAAATTCAAGTCTGCAAAACGTAATTTTTGGATTTTATTTTCGCCAATGAACTTGTTGCGTCTCCATAATTCAGAGTGATGTCAGCAGGCGCCTGGCCGCCATCTTTCCTGTAGGTTTTACAGCTTCTTTTTTTTAACCTTAATAATAGGGCAGAATATTACGGCCTGGCTATATGTTTTTGTTGCTCAAATTACAAGAATCAAGTCATGAGATTACATGAATACAATTGTAACGTTACCAAAATAAAGTCGTAATTTTATAAAAACTCCAACACAAAAAAAAAACAACAAAAAGCTAAAATGAAGGATGTTGAGCACCTTGTGAAGTTCTACTTTAGTGTAAGCTTTATTTTTCGCAAAGTACTATGTTTTTGCTCAGTGCTTATTAGAAATATTGAATATTTCAACCTATTAGCATCAAGTTACTATCAGTAGCAGGACTTTTGCCTGTGCCTGGCTAAAAATTGTTTAAACTCATGCCTGTTTCTGCTCTCCGCTGCGGATCAGAGGGTCTAACGTTGCTTTTCTGCGCAGCTGATGGAAGAGAAGAACATCCTCGCGGAGCAGCTGCAGGCGGAAACGGAGCTGTTTGCCGAGGCGGAGGAGATGAGAGCTCGGCTGGCGTCCAAAAAGCAAGAGCTGGAGGAGATCCTGCATGACCTGGAGTCCAGGCTGGAGGAGGAGGAGGAGAGGAGCCAGGGGCTGCAGAACGAGAAGAAGAAGATGCAGTCACACATCCAGGTGTGTGCCCAGGAGGCCTGGACCGTCACAGTCAAACAGTGGAAAACTATAAAGTTCTGGGTTATGAATAGAGATGCACCAATCTGATATAAATATCTGTATCGGTCCAGATATTTTAAAAAAGTCGGTGCATCTGTGACACCTATGACGGCAGATCTATTCAGTCTAATTCTATGTTTTGTCCTCTAAGCGACATAATGCTTCATTATTTATTTTTACATTCTATTTAAATTTCTAATTTCACTTTCTGGAACCTTTGAAAGAATTTTTGATGCCTTTTATTTTCACGTTTGACCAAATTAGACAAATTGTAAAATTTATAATTTATTTTACATTGGCGGTTCTACTCCTAATTGCGCTCACTGAATAAATAAAATTTGTTTTTACATGTTTGACCAAGCTTGCCAAACTATTAGTGCGTTTAAATGTGCTGTACTGGTGCAGAGTTATCAAATACATTCGTAATTCATTACATTTATGTCTGAATTTTTTTAAAAATGAAATATTTCAGGTCAATTCGGTTCTGTTTTTCTGTATCGGATAAAAATCGGCCAGTGCTGAACCTGAGATATCGGTATCGGAAGTGAAAAAGGTGATCAGATTTTGCTTTAAATAACAAAATGCTTGTTGATTAAACTGTATTTTCTGTGATGCATGTTTGCAGGACCTGGAAGAGCAGCTGGATGAGGAGGAGGCTGCGAGGCAGAAGCTTCAGCTTGAGAAAGTTACAGCCGAAGCCAAGATGAAGAAGTACGAAGAGGATATTCTGCTGCTGGAGGACCAGAACTCCAAGTTCCTGAAGGTCAGAGAGACCGCAGCTTAAAATAGATCAAAATATTTGAAATCTAAATATATTTAGACTCATCACAAAGCTTTCCATCTGCTTCATCAGGAGAAGAAGCTGGTTGAAGACAGAATCAATGAAATGACATTGATGCTCGCTGAGGAGGAGGAGAAAGCCAAAAATCTGGGAAAGATGAGAAACAAGCAGGAGATGATGATGGTGGACTTGGAGGGTAAGTAGCAGAGATTAAAGCAATGAGACTTGTAATTTCTTATTTCCTGAGCCTCTGCGCTGTTCTGATTACCATTTAGAGAGACTGAAGAAAGAGGAGAAAACCCGGCAGGAGCTGGAGAAGGCCAAGAGGAAGCTGGATGGAGAGACGTCTGACTTCCAGGACCAGATCGGCGAGCTGCAGTCCCAGATAGAGGAGCTCAAAGTTCAGCTGAGCAAGAAGGAGGAGGAGCAGCAGATGATGCAAACCAGGTGGGAGATGCAGAATAAATTGCAGCCTAACCATTTATTCAGCTAAATATGTAAAACAAATTAATAATTATTTTTGTAGACATCAAAACCTTGTTAAGGCTTATGTGTGAGAAATTAGGGTTGCAATTATTTTACTTATCGATTAATCTGTCGGTTATTTTGATGATGATCAATTCATCAGATAAAAAAAATTGGAAAATTCTGCAGGTTTTTCATTTAAGCCTTTTTATGCAATACACTAAAAGATGCAAATAAATAACTTATTAGAACTCCAAAAGCATGATATGCAACACTCTTGATCATTTGTATCAAGGGATACAAAACATTCTTCCAACAGCAACATTTGAAAAGCCAAGAGCTAAAATAAATCATCTTCTCTGTCACTCGTCCGCAGGGGAGAAGAGGAGATCAACCAGAAGAACAACGCGCTGAAGCAGATCCGAGAGCTGCAGGCCCAGCTGTCCGAGCTGCAGGAGGACCTGGAGTCGGAGAAGCAGGCCAGGAACAAGGCGGAGAAACTCAAGAGGGATCTGAGTGAGGAGCTGGAGGCGCTGAAGACGGAGCTGGAGGACACGCTGGATACGACTGCGGCGCAGCAGGAGCTCAGGTAACAGCCTCCTCTGTTTTCATTTCCACTCTCCCTAATCGCGGCGAGGCGCTTTTAAACCCGGTCTCCGCTCTGTGCAGAACCAAGCGTGAGCAGGAGGTGGCAGAGCTGAAGAAAGCCATCGAAGAGGAAACGAAAAACCACGAGGCTCAGATTCAGGAGATGAGACAGAGGCACGGAACCGCCTTGGAGGAGCTGTCCGAGCAGCTGGAGCAGGCCAAGAGGGTACTAGACTGACCCCGCGCTTTTATAAACATACGCAGTTTAGCTTAGCATTCAACATCTCTATTTCATTTATGTTTTAATCCAGTTCAAAGCTAACCTGGAAAAGACCAAGCAGAGCCAGGAGAGTGCCAACAAGGAGCTGGCCAACGAGGTGAAAACCTTACAGCAAGCAAAGACCGAGTCGGAGCACAAGAGGAAGAAGCTGGAGGGTCAGCTGCAGGAGTTCATGGCCCGGGTCACCGAGGGCGAGCGGGCCAAGGGCGAGCTGGCTGAACGCACACACAAGCTGCAGGTGACTGACTCGTCCTCAGGGTGGTTTATTTGTGACTGATTTGCAGGAAATTTGTCAAACATTTTGTTATTATTGTTATTTTTCTCTTAACGGGGTCTTACAAGAAAGTTGAAATTGTTGTACTTTCCTGAAATAGCACCCGAGAAAAGTCATTGTACCTGATGAATTGTGCATATAAAAATTTTAATTTTATCGAGTGAAGGAGAACGTAAGTGAGGGGTGGAGTCAAGTTCAACCCAAACACCAACATGGCATGGAAATAAACAATTATATTTACACCCATTGTGATTGTTTGATATTCTGAAATGTATTCAGGATATCCAAACTATGCTTTCTCTGATCTAGTGATCCTGAATATGAAAAAATGTCTCATCTTTCCCTTGATTTGGTGCTCCACTTAGTAAACCGTGCAAATAAAAAAAACAAAGGCTGTTGTTTTAACAAACTGGCTACAAAACGCAGCCACAGGCTCAACGGCTAACAGAAGCGCAGCTGATGTAGAATCTAATGATCAAAATCAACAACAGGCGTCAGGATTTGAGTTCAGCCATGGACCTTCATACCAGTCGCTTTAAAATGTCATGAACGGGAACCGGATCGGATACCTGGAATCAGGTCAGGACATTCCCAGAAACAACAAAAGGAATATTTACATTCATAATAGACCTGGATTTGAATCCAAAAGCTCATTCAACCTTTAAAGCAATCAAATCCATTTACACTGATCTGTTTTTGCTGCCAATGTTCAGATCAAGTGGGGATGATGAATTTCTTTTGAGCCATTTTCAAATATTGTCTTGATTTGGACACAAACTTTGTTTTGTCTTTTGTTTATTATTATTATTTATTTACATGTGAGTTAAATGAAAAAGATCACCTGGTTCTCTGCACAGACCGAACTGGACAACGTGTCGGCCTTGTTGGAAGATGCGGAGAGGAAGGGCATCAAGATGGCTAAAGATGTCTCTGGATTAGAGAGTCAGCTACAAGACACACAGGTAACACTCAGGATCTCAGCATTACGTGTCGTTTTTTTTTTTTTTTTTTTTCTTGAGTCCTTTTTGTTTTAGCTGACTAAAGTCTCGTGTACGTTCAATGCAGGAGCTTCTCCAGGAGGAAACCCGCCAGAAGCTCAACCTGAGCAGCCGCATCCGGCAGCTGGAGGAGGAGAAAGCCGCTCTGCAGGAGCAGCAGGAGGAGGACGAGGAGGCCCGCAAGAACCTGGAGAAGCAGCTGCTGAGTGTCCAGGCTCAGGTAGGGTGCGAGATTTCTGCGACATGCCGATGGGTTTTCTTCTGAATCTGACTGTGTGTGTGTGGGTGTGGGTGTTTGCAGCTGTCGGAGAGCAAAAAGAAGCTGGACGACGACGTCGGAACAATAGAAAACCTGGAGGAGGTGAAGAAGAAGCTCCAGAAGGACCTGGAGCTCTCCAGCCAGCGTCTGGAGGAGAAGACCATCGCTTTTGAGAAGATGGAGAAGACGAAGACTCGGCTTCAGCAGGAACTGGATGACCTCACCGTTGACTTGGATCACCAGAGGCAGATTGTCTCCAACCTGGAGAAGAAGCAGAAGAAGTTTGACCAGGTTGGAAGACGTTATGAACATCTGTGGCCTTAAAAAAAGTATTCATACCCCTTGACCCTTCTTGCTTTTTCCATCCAAAACCGTAAACTATTTAGCAAAGATTTTTCCGGATGTTCAAACACAGCAAATGATGCTCAGGGTTAAAACTGACATCATGTTAGGCACATCTTTCTGCAAACTTTCTTCTGGAAAATGAGCTTGAGATGCATTTTTAAAATTCCACAAATCGTGAACTCAGAGTACAGTTTGCCCTGGCAATCACAGTCCCCGATCTGATCCGCAGATGCTGGCCGAGGAGAAGAGCATCTCGGCCCGTTACGCCGAGGAGCGGGACCGCGCCGAAGCCGAGGCCAGAGAAAAGGAGACCAAAGCTCTGTCCATGACCAGAGCTCTGGACGAGGCGCTGGAGGCCAAAGAGGAGCTGGAGCGGATCAACAAGCAGCTCCGAGCCGAAATGGAGGACCTGATGAGCTCAAAGGACGACGTCGGCAAGAACGTGAGCAAAGATTCTGGAGCAAATTATGTTGTTTTACTTTTTTCTTTCTTTTTTTTTTTTTTTTTTATTCACATGATTTTTTTGGGGGGGCGTTCTTTGCAGGTCCATGAGCTGGAGAAGTCCAAGCGCACGCTGGAGCAGCAGCTGGAAGAGATGAAGACTCAGCTGGAGGAGCTGGAAGACGAGCTGCAGGCCACGGAGGACGCCAAGCTGCGTCTGGAGGTCAACATGCAGGCCATGAAGGCCCAGTACGAGAGAGACCTGCAGGGCCGCGATGACCAGAACGACGAGAAGAAGAGAGCTCTGGTCAAGCAGGTGAATAACAAAATACACATTCATTCTGATCAATCCCATTATTAACCAGGAATCCAGCTTATACCTTTACTTGGTCTCTTTCTTTTTTTTATTATTTTATTTTTACCTCCTTTTGAGTAACGCTCATACAGCAACCACTTTACGCCGGTGTCTGTGTAGTTTTCTATCAATTAAAATCTATATTTATGGGCATCTTTTTGTCTTGCAGTGTCAAAATGCTCAAAATGTTGAGGACACCTTTCAGCTCAGACATTTCTGAGATTGATCTTGAAATTTCTGACTTTTTTCTGGCAAAATTTTGACTTTTCAAACTCAGAAATGTTTTTTTTTTTTTTTAGAAAATTTCAGATTTTTGAATTTTTGGCTGATTTTTTTTTTTCCCCATCTGCATTAGTCCTCATGCACTGCTGTAGACATCAGAGTAACACGAAATGAAAAACAAAACATGACTGCTTCTCCGTTTCCTTTTCTCAGAAAACAATAGAACTGGTGGTTAAAAAAAAAAGAACAAATGAAATAATAATTTCTTCCCTCCCTTCCCTGGTCAGACTCTCTCCCCTGCCTCATAAGCCACATGAAGCCGATACTTAAAGAAAAAGTAAAAATCCACATACTCCTCAGTCTCTTTCTGATGACTTTAATGTCGTCGGCTGCAGGTGCGAGAAATGGAAGCCGAGTTGGAGGATGAGAGGAAGCAGAGAGCTCTGGCTGCGGCAGCGAAGAAGAAGCTGGAGATGGACTTGAAGGACATCGAGGGACACATCGAAGGCGCCAACAAGGCCCGGGACGAAGCTATCAAGCAGCTGCGCAAGTTACAGGTGACAATTTCACCCGCATTCAATCAAACGGCGAGGGACACGTCTTCTTCATGACATTTTGTCTCCTTCAGGCTCAAATGAAGGACTACCAGAGGGAGCTGGAGGACACCCGGGCTTCCAGAGACGACATCTTCGCCCTGTCCAAGGAGACGGAGAAGAAACTGAAGAGCCTGGAGGCCGAGATCGTTCAGCTGCATGAGGTCAGGAGTTCTCTTTGTCGCCTGCTGTTCGATTTGTCCTTTGTGCGACAGAAGCAAAGTGCTGCAGCATCTCTCGTCTCGTTTTCAGGATCTGGCTGCATCTGAGAGGGGGCGGCGTCACGCCGAGCAAGAACGAGACGAGCTGCAGGACGAAATCTCCAACAGCACCTCCGGGAAGTAAGAGAACGCCTGGCAAAATAAAATTCGACAAAATGATTGTGATTATTGACGTTTTTAGTGACGGTAATTATCCAAACGAATTTCACTGTTGGGAGGTGAAATCCACATTTGCCACTGCAACTAGTTTCTAGTTGAAACCAGACCAAAATAAGAGAAAACTTAATCAAAAGTAAGCTTTCAGCAAGATAAATATGCTTGCTCTCAGTCAATAATTGTTGAATTAATCAGTTCTAGTTCCACTGGCAGATTTTCTCACTGATAAAAAGACATTTTTCTTGTTTTAAGTGAAAAAAATCTGCCAGAGAAATATTTTTAAAAATAAGAATTTTGATTTGTCTTTTTAAAATTATTTGTTTAGTTGCCTCTTATTTTTAATATATACATATAGACTGACTTACATAAAATAAAATCAGAAGACAGAAAGTTGCTCTTTCATTTAATTTTATGTTATTTTCCATTTAGTTTTTATTTCCTATATATGCATGTCTGGTCCTTCCTGATAAAGCTGATAAGATAACAGACAAATACTTAAAAATAAAAACATTTTATTAAAATAAAAGGAATAAGCTCATTTATTTCTGTCTAATTTTTAATATTGTATAAAAAACACCTAAATAAAAAAATCTGTAGAATATGCCATTTTTAAAATACGATTAAGCGATTCATCAGCCAGATCAGCTGTTAGCTGCTATCGCTAACTTCTGTAGCGATAGCAGAAGTTAGCGACTGACCATTTCTTTCATGGTCAATCATAGAAACATTTCAGTTCAAAGTGGTGATTTAGAAATGCAATGGAAATCAGAGGCTTCGTGACGTGGCGTCCTGTGTGACTCTCAGAGCCGCCCTGATGGATGAGAAGAGGCGGCTGGAGGCCCGGATCGCCCAGCTGGAGGAGGAGCTGGAGGAGGAGCAGGGCAACATGGAGCTGCTCAACGACCGCTTCAGGAAAACAAACATGCAGGTGCTCCTTACATCACATCAAATGTGTAAGAACGCTTCATTTTCCCCAGCACGCCCTGCTTCTTACCTCCTTTTTTTTGTTTTTCGTTTTTTTTCCTGCTCTGTGTCCGGGTCCTCTTCCCGTTCAGGTGGACACCCTGACCACGGAGCTGAGCGCGGAGCGCAGCACGGCGCAGAAGAGCGAAAACGCCCGGCAGCAGTTGGAGCGCCAGAACAAGGACCTGCGTGCCAAACTGAGCGAGCTGGAGGGTTCGGTGAAAAACAGGTTCAAGGCCTCCATCACCGCTCTGGAGGCCAAGATAGCACAGCTGGAGGAGCAGCTGGAGCAGGAAGCCAGGTGGGCGACCGCTGGAGCTCCGCCTTTCCTTTCCTGATCTGTCCAGCTAACAGAAGGCTGTGCTTCACTCAAGGGAGCGGGCGGCGGCCAACAAGATCGTCAGAAGGACGGAGAAGAAGCTGAAAGAAGTCTGCATGCAGGTGGAGGACGAACGTCGCCACGGTGATCAATTTAAAGAGCAAGTATGTCTGCCTCTGACGGCGACGCCGAAGCGATTCGTCGCGGTTTCCGGCCGCCGCCGCCGCCGTCTCACTCGTTTGTTCTTCCACTTCCCCGAGTGAAGCTGGAGAAGGCCAACTCCCGCATGAAGCAGCTGAAGCGGCAGCTGGAGGAGGCGGAGGAGGAGGCCACCCGGGCCAACGCCTCGCGCAGGAAGCTGCAGAGAGAGCTGGACGACGCCACAGAGGCCAGCGAGGGCCTCAGCAGAGAGGTTCACACCCTGAAGAACCGACTCAGGTGCAGAATCTGTTTGTGTCTGCAGAGCTTCGTGTTTAGAGATGATTCTGCCTGCATTGGTGCAAAATGTGCAGCCAGGACAACTTTTCTACAGAGAAACCTTCGATTTTATCCTGGAGTCTGAAACCCAGTTATGTAATTGAAAAACAGTCACTTGATACTCCCAGGGGCCCAACGCAGTCTGGAAAGGTCTGGACACGTATGGAAAAATAGAAAGTTGAGAATGTAAAATAATTATACATTGCAGACTTTATGTCTCCATGATAATCTGAATTTCAAAAATCTTTTTTTTTTTACATTATTGACTTTTGGTTTTCACACACCAGGTTCTTGTCCAACTCATTAATCGTTTCGATTTTTGACACACCCACCACAAATATTTAAAGGATCATTCCGCAGTTTTATTTTGGGTCAAAATTGGTTTATTTTCTCTTTGTATTTTGTAGCTACAGTATTAGATCACAAATGAAGCTCAGAGAAGAAGAAAGCAAAGGAGGATCATAAGGCGGTGCACAGATGTTACTTTAGGGTTATTTTTTTGAGGGTTTGAGTTTCCATGTGAAACAGAATTACGTTCCTGTTGGTTTTAGAGGAAGTTTGAAACACAGAGATATTTAACATTTAAAGAGACATGAGTCCCAAAGGTGCACCAACCACATACAAAAAACATTAGCAGCCGCAATACGTCAACCTGAAAAAGTTGCTCCTTCTTTCTCCGTACATCAATTGATTGATCTAAAATCTAATACAGTTTAGATTCATGGAAAATATGACATGCAGACAAATTTAAACTCAAATGAGGGAGTTGGGACTCTGAAAATCACAGTTTGAAGCTCTTAGTTGACTCTGACTCAAAGTAGTTCGGAGTAAATCATCAATCAGTTTCTGCCGTAATTTTCTCCCATGATAAAAACAGTGAAAAAGAAGAAGTAGGGTAATATATTAACCTTTTTTTTTTTTATCCTTCTGCCTTCATGTGATCACCTCCTCCTCCTCCCACAGACGCGGCGGCCCCATCACCTTCTCCACCAGCCGCTCTGGCCGCCGCGCGCTGCAGGTGGAGGGAACCTCCCTGGACCTCGTGTCGGACGACGAGCTGGAAAACAAGATCACCGACAACAACGCCAACGAGACCCCGGCCCCCCAGCAGGAGTAGATGCGTACATATCACTAAACCCGCAACAATCGCTCAGACTTTAACGCCGCCGACTGGGAACCCGCCGATTCCTTCATCTCTTCCGTTTTACTGAATTTGTTTCTTTTTTTAAAAGTTATTTGCCTAATTATTTCCCAGGTAATTTTAGTCAGAAGCCCTTATCAGATTAACTTTTAGTAGACACCAGCAGCTGGACCCTCAACAGTCCTCCTTCAGCAAGGCATTACCTGTGTTTAGTTACAGAGCTGAAGGCAGAAGTTTAGAAATAGGAAAACTCAACTTTTGTTCATAGAGTTGGTGATAAATGTCTGCTGGTCCAGCGGTTAGCTGCTCAATAATTATGCCAACAGCAGCGGAAAATGATCAAATCAGAAAGGAGCCGTTTGTGTCCAAGCGTATGAGCAAAGGTATTCGGAAAACACTTTTTTCCACATTCTGTCAAATTAATACCGCAAACTTCTGCGTATTTTGTTGGGATTTTATGTGATTGCAGCACAAAGAGTGTTGTTGAAGGGAGCTGATTTATCGCTCCTGGCTCAGAGGTTGCTAGATTTACTTTGCTGCAGTTGCAGCTTTTGGTCTTTTAGGTTCGTCTCTACCGGCTCTGTGAGTGTTTTCCTGTTCTTTAAGCTTTGAGAATGTCTGGATTTGCTTAGTCTAAAGTTGGGACTGGAACAGTTTAACATGCTTTGATCTGAAATCTGCGGCTCCAGAGAAACATGTGGCTCTCGCAAAACCAGCACGGAAATGTTTTTGATTCTGGATTCACCAAGAAATGGAGAGTTTGTCCATAAGTTCATATGCAAAATCTGCTTTTAGTACCTGCGACCAGGTTTCAACAGCAACTAGCGTCAAACTGTTACAAACATTTTCAATGTCTTTTTCTTTTATTTTAGTTCTAAACTCTGAAAATTTAAAAATATATATATATTTTAAATTTGGTTTCATAGCAAAACATTTTATGTGGAACATGTTTAGAAATTGTTTTATCTTGTAAACCAGCTCTTTAAATTTGAAAGGTTTCTGACTCCCTCAATTGGAGCTGAAGAAAACAATCTGTACAGCATGATGCTGCCACCACCGTGTCTCACCATCGTTACGTTGCATTCTGGGCTGTCAGATTAAAAGGGGATGTAAAATTTACATTTTTATTTCTCAATTGGAAAAACATGTTTTCTTCCAGTTCACCAATATCTTTTACTCCGTCATATAAAATCCCAATAAAATCAGTTTTGTGGTTTGAAGGTGAGAAAATGTGATGTAAACCTTTGTGAGGCGGAAACAAACGCCACCATGAGTTTCTTTTTCTTTGTCACCGCTTAACGTCTTGTGCATTAGTTGAATTCTCAGCTGAGTTGTGATTGAACGACGGGGATCGCTCGCTTCCACACGGATGTTGAACTGTGATTGTGTGCTGCCTCAGTGCTTCAGCTCGTTGCTCCTTCAGTGTCGCCTCAGACCTGTTCAGCTTCAGCGCTAAAAACTGCAACTACGCCTGTGTTGTCGTTCTTCTTCTTCTGTGCCTTTTTCATATTCCTGAAGCTGCACATCCATTTGTACCACAAATATAGTACATATATTGAGCCATGTATAATGTCATGAAGGTATTTTCTTAAAAAATATCATAAATTTGCATATTTAATGAAATATTAGTTGCAACCCAGTGAATGTCTTCCTTCGGTGTTGGATGTTATGGATGATAAGTCAGCGGTGTGGGAATCTCTGTCGGTGAGTGCTCTGACTTTTCTTATCGACAGCTTTTGTACTTTGAGTTCTTGAGAAATGAAGACAATCCAATAGATATCAGCTGTATTTATTTCTCTGCTATGATTTACAACACAGACGACATTCGTAGTCCGAGCTGCTCAGTTAGCGCATTGATCCGCTGGTGGGAGGAGTACCTGGAGAGAACCAATGCATCCACAGAGAGAACATGCAAACTCAGACCAGGATTTGATGTTTCTCTATGATTTTTGTATTTTTTATTTTTTTGGTCTTTTAGTTGTGCCTAAAATTTTCTCTGGTCTTCCCGATGAAAATGTTCTTGGGACGCCGCTGGATTCGAACGCAGCGTCTTGTTGCTGCAAGGCAACATGGCTACCAACTGTTCAATAGGAAAAGAAATCTGTGAACATATGCCATCTGAACTGGAGTTTAAATCACCATATTAAATGGGTAAATATTAGTTGTCTGAGCTCAAGTGGATCCTTTCTGTGTTTGGCTGGTAGCAGGACGAACCAGGAAGTAAAAATAAGTTAGAGAGAGCACACTTCACTAACACAAAGCCTTATTTGAAATTTAGAAATTATTAGTTTACGTTTACTTATTAATCATGTTGCACCTCTAGTTTTTCTTAGATTTAGGGGTGCAATAAGTTTTCCGTCATTGCAAGCTTCCAATGTTTGACATCTTATTTTAAAAAACTAGGGAGACATTTTTAACTCAAAATGTTTTCTGGAGGCATTATCATCTTCATCACTGAATTGAATTCACAGTCAGTTTTCCAGAACACACTTCAAGGATTTGCATTTAAGCAACCGGTGGCATTGCTGTTTTTAAATTGTTTTCAAATGTCACAAATAGATACACTGACTTATTTTCATACTTTTAGTGCAGAGTGCAGTGTGTGAGCTTGACCCATTCAAAAAGTGAGGGTTTAACGTAAACGTCGCAGGGCTCAGTGGTGGTTGTAAACTTCCTGGTTTCTGGACAAATGGTTTGAAATGACGGGACGCAGTGGGACATGCCTCGTCTCGTCTCATCCTTACTGTGGCAGGCGGCTACTATCTTCATCACCAGCAGCAGCAAAAGCCTCCGTGGGCTCGGTGGATTAGAAGGATGCAGACATTCTTCAACATGAAGCCCCCTCTGTAAGGTAGAGGAGCAACTCTTCAATGAAATCCATGCATGTCACAGTGAACCTCATCCACCACACGTATCTCAGCTCTTTCCAAGAAACTCTGATTAATCACAATTACAAAGAGGAATGTGCAGCTGTTTTTTCTTTAATAAATAGTTATTTGAAATAATGTGAAAAGTGACTGTAACACCCCACCTTGTCCAAAAGATGGCGCTATTTTCTTGTATCAGGATCAACTGAAATCTCCCGAGTCATTATAAATTACCTCAAACTATCAGCAATCCTTTTAAAGCAAGTCTGTAAATGCATCATCGTAGATCAGACTGATTGCATTTATTTTTTGCGCTTTGAACTTGATTAAAATGTTAATTTTCTGAAAAACAATTTCAACAATAGTCTTTGTTGTCTCAGTCTGCTGCAGCCAGAGGTTGAAAAAAAAGTCTAAAACTGAACTTTGTCAAAATCTTTTTTTATTTGAGGTTCACATTGTGGAACATTTTGTGGACAAACATTGTTGAGATCTCTTTCCCATCGTCGTCCTCAGCTGCTTTCGTCATGGAAGGTGAATCTGTGTTTATTTAGTTGTGTCGTTATAATTGGTATTAGTGGTGTTCACAATGTTATGCTTGTTCACATTTCCTCTACACTTTCAGCTCCTTACTCCCTTGACCCTCAAGAGGAACCGACTAATTTCAGGCTGCAAGTTTTAAATAAAACAAAAAAAAAATCCATCCTGCCTGGTTTAGTAAAGCTTCAAAAAATCAAATGGATAAAAATGGATCATCTCAAGCAAAACCTTACTCAGGGGAAATTGACCTTCTGTTCGTTTGTGTTCAAGTTCTTGATGCTAAGCTACATGTTTGGTCCAGTCAGCTCGACTCTGGACCAAATGAACTGAATTTGTTTTTGTTACGTCCCTATTTAGGTCTATTTTGTGTTTTATATGTTTTTCCTCATATGGCAGAAATCAGAAGTAATTCAAGCTTGAAAAAGACGGTATTGCGTCCAACTTCAGTAAAGTTAGAAACAATCAGGATAGTAGAGATGATATGAAAAGTGAACAGAACAGTGAGAACACTTTTAATTTTAAATCTATTTAGAACTATTATATATAACTATTGTTTTTGTTTGTTTTTTTAAGCTGAAGACAATAAAACTAGTATAAACAGCGTCTGAATTATTTTTGGTTCATGAAATGGAGCTGTTGCGTAACACAAGACAGACTGGTTTGTCTTTTCTGATCAGGTTTTGTTGTTTTCTGCACTTTGGTGCCAAAGCCCTGCAGGTTCCTGGAGGACGACGCCTGGGAGGCATTTTCAGATTGTTGCAATGACGATAAACCAGTTTCGCCCGTCTTTGTTTAGTGTTTCTGGCGTGAACCCAGGAAAGCCTCAGTTGGAGGGAGTTTTTCCACAAAACAACAACAAAAAACCTACAGGAGAAGATTTTAAATTTTAATACTATTATTGTGAAATGGATCAGAAATGTTAAAGTTTTCTGGACTTTTTTGCATTATTTTTATTATTTGGACCAATTCTCAAAACTATTGCATAAAACCAGTTTTGGTTATATGATTTGTTTTGGCTATCATATATCTGAAATGTTTCACTTTGATTTTGATTTTTTTTAAGTCGACAGCCATGAGCTGTGGGCCGGTTAGCTTTGTACCTCAACTCTTTGCTTTGCTAAAGTATTTATTTACCTTTTATACATGTTTATGATATATATAGCATGCATATCTCAGTGGATAAAGTTGTGCATCGTTTTATGAGAAGCGGTTAGAGAACACAAAGGAACACAGGAAGCGAGATGTAGAGAAGTTGAATAACATCTCAGGGAGTTGATTTCAGTGAACGAAAGCAGTACCAAGACATGGTACTGCCACACACACAAACTGGGTCAGTCAGAGAAACTCTTAAGAAACTTGCTGATGGGGGTTTTTCAGAAGCAGTCCGTAACCCATGCAGCAAGTTTCTCCGAAGGAATTTTAATCAGGTGTTTTTACTGGCAGGAGACAAAAAAAAAAAAAAAAAACCCTGCAGGCTTGGAAAGTAGCCAGGAAAACCCAGAGCAGGATCTGGGTCTCTGCCTTCACCTTACGATCAAAAAACCTCCCTGAAGCTCTTCACATGTGAGCATCAAAACTGTTATCCAAACAACACCAGGTATGTAAAGGGCTATTGCGTCTGATCCAGATAAACGGTATGGGCCTTGGAACAACAATGAACCTATTTCTGTCATCTCTCTCATCTTCACAGCTTCGCCAAGGCTAAAAATAAATCTGTTAACAGGAATCGAACCCCGCCCCGCTGGTGGCACTTTACCTCCGACCATCCGGACCTTTTCAGCAGGCGCTCTCTCTGTTACTGCAAAATCAAACACATGCTGGCATCCGGGGCCCGCTCTTCAAAATGGGAAGGCGATGTTGAAACATTAAAACATCTGGAGCATCTTTTTTTTTTTTTTTACATATTTACACATTTTAAAACAAATTCAAACCTGAGAACCTATGCAAAAAGAAGGGTGGACAATAAGTTGTCTCAATAGTTATCGTGATAAATGATTGGGTTTTTTTAGACCATTTTCAAGGACTGTATTGAAAAATAAATACATTTTTGTACATAACTCTTCATGCTGCACCTGGAAGAAATTGTAAATATTCAACATTAAACAATCACAAACAATAAATAAAACAGAAAAAAAAAACACACAGCTGGTGACGTAAATAAGATGCATCATGAAGTCTGATAACAAAACTTCCCCTCAGAAAATAATCATCAACTCATGTTCATTTAACACGCGACTAATTGCTTATTGTGACCTTATAGTTTCCAACCTAATGACAAAACTGATCTAGACAAAAAAGGTGGGCCTTTTAGTGACGTTCAGCTGTAGACGTTCAATGAAATGACTGGAAAAAACTGTTACAACATTTATTTGTGAATAGAGGAATCGAGGAATATTTATATTTTACGCATCTATGTTTAAACCCATTTCAGGTACGTTTTTCCCCCTCCTCAGACATTTCACCTTCACATCAGACCTGGTCGGTCTGCTATTGTTCCGGTTTCTGTCTGAAAGCTGGTAAAAGTTTTGTAGTTTTCCGGATTTGACTCTCACAGATGCCGCAAAACATGCATCAATCGGTGCGTTACGAAATAAGATCCCGGTGCTGATTAACCCAATTACACGCCAGGAAAGCACCAGTCGGTCCAGTTTGCCTTCCAAGGCCGAAACGAACTGAGGGAAAAAAAAAAACCCACAGTAATGTAATTCATGTAATACACTTTCGACTGTGGGACCCAAAGCAGTGCACTGTGAGCACAGCGCACTGCAAAAGCACAAAATCTCACCGAGCATTTTGTCTCTGGTTTCTGATGTAAATATCTTAGCTTGAAAAAAAATAAAAAAATAAAAAAAATACTGACTTACAAACAACTTTTCAGCAAGATACAAGAGTTTGTTTTAAGTCAGTGATTCATTAAAGTGGTAGAAATGAATCACAAGGCAAAATGAAGGAATCATTTACATAAAACAAACTCCTGCCTCTTACTGAAAAGTTTCTTGTGAGTTAGTCTTATTTGAAGATATTTGCACCAGAAACTAGACCAAAAATACACGGTTTGTGTGTTTTTTTTTTTTTTTGTTTTTTGCAGTGTGTTCGTTTAATGGCCCGCTCAAGGTCGCCTATCCTCTTCAGGTAGAAAGATCCGCCTGATCCTATCTGATCGTGGTAAAAGGCCTCTCTGTGTTTTTCTTGGCTCTCTTCTGAGCTTCTCCTGTTTCCAGCCCTGCTATCTTTAGACTCTTATCAGATTTAAAAAACAGATGAGCAACTGTTGACAGGAATCAAGCCACGTCCAGCCGCTCATCATCAAGTTGCCTTGTTGGAATGGGTCTGAATCACGGCATGAAACAAAACACAGGATATGACAGACGGACAGAGACGGCTTTGCTTTAGCTCCTTTACAGAAACACCAGCGTCATTTCCGACCCATCCTTCTTATTAACTTAGGTAAATTAATTTGCTTAATTAAGTCAGTCAATTAACTTTAAGAACTAACAGGACCCACTATTATTGTTGTCTCAGTTGCATAATTTAAATATGTTGGAAACACCACAGCTGTGGTGAGGAGAGAACGGGGAGCGTCCCACCATTTCCTTCAAGAGATGGAACGCGGAATAAGCGTTAAACAAATCAATGCTTTGTCAGAAAATATACTTCTAAAGGTCCAGACCACACATGCAAAACTATTCACACATCACATCACAGTGTGTGAGGGAAGCAAAAGACAGCTACAGGAGAAAGGTGGAGCAGAAGCTGAGAGAGAACAACATGAGGGAGGTCTGGGAAGGTGTGAGGACCATCACTGGCCTCAACACAAAGACCAGAGTCGTTGAGGGAACAATGGAGAGGGCAAACGAACTGAACAACTTCTTCAACAGGTTCAACCAGTCTGTGCCCCCCCAACCCCCTCTCTCACTGCAGCCACCTCTGCTCCTTACCACACACCTCCCCACAGACAACAAAACACTGACAACCCCCCCACACACCTCAGCACAACCTCCACCCCACATCACCACAGACCAGGTCAGAGAACAGCTGAGGAAACTCAAGCCAGGAAAGCAGCAGGGCCGGACCAGGTGTGTCCAAGGCTGCTGAAGACCTGCGCTGCTGAACTGGGAGAGCCACTACAGCGGATCTTCAACCTCAGCCTGCAGCTAAGGGAAGTGCCCACCCTCTGGAAGACATCCTGCATCGTCCCAGTGCCCAAGAAGAACAGGCCCAGCGAGCTGAATGACTTTCGGCCCGTGGCACTCACTTCACACCTGATGAAGACGTTGGAGCGGCTCTTCCTCGGCCTCCTCAGACCTCAGGTGGAACACGCTCAGGACCTCCTGCAATTCGCCTACCAGGCAGATGTTGGTGTGGAGGATGCCATCCTCTACCTGCTGCACCGGGCCCACTCCCACCTGGTAAGGGCAGTGGCACAGTGAGGATCCTTTTCTTGGACTTCTCCAGTGCCTTTAATACAATCCAGCCCCTTCTGCTCCAGGACAAACTAAATAGCATGGGAGTGGACCAGCACCTGGTCACCTGGATCCATAGTTACCTCACCAACAGGCCGCAGTATGTCAGGCTAAAGGACACCGTGTCTGACACTGTGGTCAGCAGCACAGGAGCCCCTCAGGGCACAGTGCTGGCCCCTCTTCTCTTCACCCTGTACTCCTCTGACTTCCACTACAACTCGGAGCTGTGTCACATACAGAAGTATGCTGATGACACAGCCATAGTCGGATGTATCAGGGACGACGGAGAGGAGGAATATCGCTGTCTGGTGAGGGACTTTGCTCTCTGGTGCCACACAAACCACCTGGAACTCAACACCTCTAAGACGAAGGAGCTGGTTATAGACTTTGGGAGGTCCAGACCAATGCCGAGACCAGTCGTACTAGAGGGAACGGAGGTTGAGGTCGTGGACTCCTACAAGTACCTCGGGCTGTGGCTGGACAGTAAACTGGATTGGTCAAAACACACCAGCCACCTGTACGGGAAGGTGCAGAGCAGGATGTACTTCCTGAGGAGACTGTGGTCCTTTAACATCTGCAGCAAACTGCTGTGGATGTTCTACCAGTCAGTGATCGCCAGTGTCCTCTTCTACACCGTGGTGTGCTGGGGAGGCAGCACATCCAAGAAGGACACGTCCAGACTGGACAAACTGATCAGGCGTGCCGGCTCTGTGGTCGGCATGAAGCTGGACTCTCTGGTGACGGTGGCAGAGGCGAGGACACTGAACAAACTGCTGGACATCATGGACGATAGCAGCCACCCTCTACACGCCGTCATCAGCAGCCAGAGGAGCCTGTTCAGTGACAGACTGCTGCTTCCCAAGTGCCGGACCAAATAGATTCAAGAACTCCTTTGTCCCCGACGCCTTCAGACTGTACAACTCCTCACTGGGGGGTCGGAGGTGACACAGGACAGAGGGAAGAAGGAGTAGTTTTTCTACAAATGTGAACTCCATATTTATCAGGCCAAACCATACAGTGCAATACCATATCACTGGTCAATCTATCCACCAAATTGCTATAATTTCCTTTGTGTTGTATTTATATTCTTTGTTTTGTATTTAATTTGTATTTTTTTGTATTTTGTGTATGCTTACTG